GTGGGGAGTGATTTCTCACTTTCTGTCTCTCTGTCTCTCTCTGTCTGTCTGGTGAGCGCATGCGCCCTATAGCGAAAACCTCTCTAAAAAAAAAGTGCTTACCAAGAAGAAAAAGGAGTGGGGGAAGGAGAAGAAGAAGAAGAAGATGATGATGAAAAAAAGAAGTTATTGCCAAGATGCTCAGAGACATCCAGAGAGCCACAGTTCATCGTTTAGACAGTCAATCTGTACCATCAAAGTTACTTCTTGGACAGAGTCCCTGGAGGCCAGGCCAAGGTGGCATGGAGGAGAGAGCCTGAGAATAAACCATTGCCTTTGCCCTGACTTCCACCTTAGATGTTCCATTGTTCTCCAGGAAAACAGCAGAGTGGCCCTACTTTCCATCAGGTCCAGAAGGGGAGAATTTGAAAGCTGCTAAACTAATACCACTGGATGGATTCCAGTCCCATAAAGCTAGCACCTAGACCCAGACTTATGGAAACCCCTAGGTGTGGGGTGGCAGACAGTCCAGGCTGGCTTCTAATAAACGCCACCATTGGTGTGAACAATCCATGTTGCTTTCATTTTAGTTTCCCTCCAAATTCTGTATCCCTGCGGAAGCATTTATCAACGTTGTGATCATTGCTCTTATCACAGTTGACAGGTTGAGCTCATTTCTTATCTTTTCATTTTATCCTGCTTTATTCCCCTAAGCCTTTGAATGGCTTAGGTCTTAAGCGAGACTGAGGAGGGTTTATATCAACTGAATGTCATAGACAGCCGCATGGATACAAGCTTTGCGTTTGTCCTAACTTCCTCCATGAGCACTGGGAGGGGCATGGCAGCCTCTGGCATCTTCCTGATATGCCTTCCCCACTTTGTACCCCAATTCTCCCCTTCATCACTCCTCCACGTGCTCTAGCCAACACCCCCTACCTGTGGTTCTCTAGTCAGTCCCAGGATAGCTCCAGCTCTGAATTTACTCATCTCACAAGGAGTCTTCAAGATGTTTATCGAAGATGCCTATCAGGAAAAAACTGCACGTGAATGTCAACCATTTTTGTGTGCTAAAATAAATCCATTCTTTAATTCCACTTTCTCACAGACTTTTTAAAGTCTCCTTGTATTTGATTTTTCCAGTTCTTATCAATCCTTCAAAATCCCAGTCATCATCCTCTTCCTTCTTCCGCTGACACTTCCTTGGTCCCTTTACAGAAGGTAGCAGCCACCCCCATTGTCATCCTGCTCCCAGAAATCATGAACAGATGTCTCTTTCGAGGTTTCTTTCTCCTCGTGTGCATCCTTATCTGACCTCCCTGCCAGACCACTACAGGTGCAGCAGGGAGGGCAGATGAAGTTCCTGTGATGTGAGTGATGGAAGGTCTAGCAGTGTGCTCACCGGGAACCTGGCTGATGCCTCCAACAATGTAGGGTCTTCATTTGGGTTTTCCCAAAAGCTGACTATGAACAAGGATCTGACTATAGGAAATATTGGTGGGAGAGTGGCAAATAAAGTTCAGTCAGGTAAGGATGTTTTACTAAGGAAGCTAAAACAAGCCAGGCATAGTGGCATGAGCCTATAGTCCTAGCTACCCTGGAGGCTGAAGCAGGTGCATTGATACAGGCTTTATACCTGTTCTAGATTTGCGACATAGAACGAGACCCTATCTATAAAAAAAGTCAGCTACCACAGGGATGCCTTTTGTCACGTGAGATGCTTCTGAAAAATCCCACCTGACAGGTGAAGGAGCTGGTGTGGTTATATGCAACTATCAGCAGTTTTTGGTTGAGGGCTGTTGTTTGGAATGTTCACCTGAATCCCAGGTCATTGGTGCACCTGCTGTGCAGGCAGAATGGTCTTCAGTGCTCCAGGAATGAATCGCTCTGAGGCAAGGCAATAATACTAAGACTGGCAGCTGGGCAGAGGTGGGGGTCAACACACACTGGAATGATGATCTCCAAGGGTGTGGGATGGGGCTTAGTTACTGCTGAGCTTATTCTCCTGGGCCCTTGTCTTGAGGATAAGATGGTCCATAGTTCCCACAACTGCTCCAAGGGAAGGCACCAGTTTCAAGTCAAAGAGTTCACTGAAATCTAAGGGAGCACTGAGATCCTTCCCTGAGGATTGGCCAGACATCCTCCCCGCAGACAGACATGCAGGACCTAGCTCGCTCTCATACTCTGGGGCAGAGGAGTTTCTCCCCCACTCCATATTTGTCCTTTTCTGTTAACCCTTGTCTTCTCTAAGGAGTCAACAGATCACCCATCAGAAACATCTACCCTGAGAAAAGAGAAACATATTGTTAAGCTCCATACAGCCCATGGCCCTGGTCACAGGGCTGGTGGTCCCCCCAAGAGGGATAATAGTCTTTTGAGGGCTTGCCACTGGTTCGTATTTACAGCTTGGTGGGAGTTTCAGCATAGTCACTCACTGGGGTTGCAATGGAATTGAACTTACAGTTTGTACAACTTCATTGTGTGTTGGATTGTGCATTTGGTACCATAAAATGTGTGTTTCCTGCATTTCTTCAGTTAGAGTTCATACACCAGTAAAAATACAAAACTCTATTTTTAAAAACTCAATACAAACCACAAGATCATTGAAATAAAGAGCTGAAGTGTTCCCTTTCATGTGTTTGGAGTGCCTCTTCTACTTGACAGAGGATCTTGAGACAGTGTGTCAAAGGGTCTTCTAGAGGGCTTAAAGTCAACATTCGTTTGGCTGACTCCCAGGGTATTTGGAGATACAGAGAATCTCCAGCAATGAGAAATTTCATTGTGTAAATATATCTTCTATTTTAGAATCCATGCAAATATCATATGTAGATGAAAGTAGATGTAGCTAGACTTATTTTCATAGTTTTCTTTTTTTAAGGTTTATTTATTTCTCCTGAGAAAGAGAAAGACAGACAGAGGGGGAGACAGAGAGACAGGCACGCTAATAAAGTCTCCATGTGGTGATCCATACCCCCCCACACTTCCCGTCTCAATTGGACTGGATTGAGACATACTCAGAATGCACAGGGAGGTACCAGGACACAAGCCCTGGACCTTTCTCATCTGTGTCCAGCTATGTTACCACTGCACCGTCACCTAGGTCTGTTTGGATACATTGTTTACACATCAGAAGAACTTAAATTATCTTTGAAATGTTTCTGGCAAGAAAAGCAGCCCCATTGGTTCCTCCTTCACACTGTTTCACCACCGCTGGGGGAAGATGCTTGAAATATCATGCCTCTAACGTGGACTCAGAAGTTAACTGCTCTGTCATCTTGAGGTGGACGGGTAGGATGATGAAGGCCAGGGATGCTCACAAGGAGAAGACCAGGAAAATACTCTTAGGGCTCACTGGTTATCAAGGTTAGCAACGTCAGCAGCAGTAGCTCAGAGTGGGAAAATGAGGGCTCTGGTTTTCACCATTGTCCAGATTCCAGAGGCTGGGAATCAAAAGTCTGAAGTAGCATTGCATGAATATCACATCTGAAGTCACATCAGCTGCTTTAAAAACTCTTGGTGATATTTTGCTAAATTCTCAAGTAATGGCCAAGTCCCAGCAGCCTTATCTTTCCTTCTTAGATATACCTCAAATAAGATAAACCAAGTCACCATCTTTGACAACTCACTGGGAACATCTTCACCCTGGGTGAGTGGTAAAATGTTTTAGTAGATGCCCCGACAAGTTGCTGCTGGTCCTTCTGGCTCTGGTGCTCAGTCGATGACCTCCCTAAATCATAGCCATCAGACAGTCCCCAAGGCCTAAAAAAAGCACCTGCTGACCAATTGTCCTAGTCAGTTTTGTAGCTAATAACATAAAATACTTGAAACAGGATGATTTATAAAAATAGAGATTTATTCAGCTCACTGTGTTGAAGTCCAAGGTCCAGGGGGCCATATCTGGGGAGGAAGGGGGATGTTTTGCAGAGTCTTCATCACATCCTGAGAGAAAGAGCAAGCAGAGCATAGGAGCTCTTTCCGTGAGTTTCCCTGTTCCAGTCCCCTTCTTTATTCTTACAAACCCACCAGAGCTCAATCACAGGGGCCCCACTCTCAAAGGCCCCATGTTCCAATACCATGAAGATACTAAGTTTCTTCCTAATAAGTATTTTTACAACCAAATCTCAATGTATAAATTTGGGGACACACCACTCACAGGACTGGCCCTCACTGTACTAGATGCTTCCCACACTTATGGGCAAGCACACAACATGGCCTGATCTGTGTATACTCCTAGGACACACAAGGAAGAATTAGGCAAACTCCTTCTAGAGTGGTTGATCTAGGAAGAACAGAATATGGTCCCAAACAGTCACACCACAAGCTAAGGGTCTCAGCTTTATCCTCTGTCAAAGGAGAGCCTGTGGCTGGGTGATCAGAGATGCTGGTAGGACAAGGAGGGAAAGATAGAGAAACTCTCAATGGAAGAGAAGCTTTTCCTTCACTCATCGTAGATGGTGAAGAACTTCACTGTTCTGCATTTCAACTGGTGACATTCCAGGGACATGAAGTCTAAGTCAAATAGTCATACCTAGGAGTGAGGTTCCTGGGTATGCATAGTCATTCCAAACTGCTTTTGTCTCATTTCTCTTCAGGGAATGGAAGAGTCCAGCCTTTTTCTTTGCATCAGTTCAACTCAATGAGTGTCTCTTGGGCACCACCTGGATGTTCAGCCCGGTGTGGCATCCAAAGGGCCAATGGAGTCAGGTGTATCTCATCTGGCCTTTAAGGAAATCTCAGTCTCTTAATCTAAAAGAAAGAAAGATTAGCTGAACCCATGTGTGGGTTCCAGGCAACATCATAAACTTCTTGGAATGTTCCTCCCCTTTCCATCCCTAGGTCTTAGCCTGAAAACCATCTTCTTAAGGGGTCCACTAAGTCTCATCTCTCACATGACTCCCCATCACCTATCTTCCATGCTGTTCTTTTTGTTCCCTTTGAAAATCTGAAATTTTGTGTTTGCCTAGTATTGTATGCCGTGTATTGCCTGTCACTGCTCAATGTAAGGACCCTTACAGCAAGGATCTTACTTGCCTATTTGTCTTTCATTCTCATCAGTCTAACCCAAATAGTGCCTCATGCAGAGCATGGGTCCTGTGGATGTGTATCCAGTGAAGAAATCAAAGTACAAATCTCGGAGCCAGTCAGAGACACACCAGTAAAACACCTCGGGCCAGCAGGTGTGTGGTGGTTAAGGTGCTGAACTCCCACATGGCCAACTGTGGTCCAAGCCACAGACCTGGCAGCTTGCTTTCTCACTTTCTCCCTCTCTCTCATCAAATTAATAATAATAATAATAGTAGTAGTAAATAAAATTAAATAAATAATTCTTTTTTAAAAAGGCAAAAACAAGCACAATGTTTTTGGCAGGCGAGTCTACATTGGATTGTCTGGGGTTCATGTCCAGAGATTTCTGAGTATTTCGAGCATGCGCTTGTCTATGGTCTGGGACTGGCTGGAGCTGGAGGTGGATCACAGCATCAAGACCCTACTGAGGGTACTGTCTCTCTGCCTCTTTCTCTTTTTCTCTCTCTGTCTCTCTCACTCATGAAAGAAATATACTTAAGAGTTACAAGTCAGCTGAAGAGATTTGTTGTCAAAATGGTTGGCTTCTTTGCAATTTCTACACATGGTAGAGAAGGAGAGGACCCATGATGATGGAATGGGTGGACCTCAATGCTGGTCTTAGTAGGTGGTTAGAGTCTGGATAGGCTGAGAGGCAAGAGTGAAGGGTTGACCTGCCAAGCAAGTATAGAGAAGGAGATAAAAATGAACAGAATGTTTATGGAGAGCAGACAGTGTAGACAAGGACCTGCCCCCAGGGAATAAGGTAAAAATCCTTCTGAGAAAGTGCCCCCAACCTCCAGCCTCTCTCAGAGCCAGCCTCCCCTTCTACTAAAGATGTCGGTGTCCTGGCTGACATGTCTCAGAAGATTTATTGACATAATAGACACCATTCTAAAGAGCTAGCCCAGGATCACACATCAAAACTTCAAGTTTGAAAGGATTAGAAACATACTTGGGGCACATATTTCATCTTGACTCTAGACTTAATTAAGATATTGCTAGTGCAATACCATAGACAAGTGAAGAAGTGGCACTTTATTCCGCCATCCCCCATCCCTGTAAAAAATAAAATAAACGTGGATTGCATGGAGTGAAGTATTCATAATTATTTTATGCAGGAAGAAAAAAAAAAACAAATGAAGAGGTATCAGGAGCTCATGTCATCAATTTCACAGATCTAGGTTTAATCAGAGCACCTTATAATGCTAAAACACCAGCCTCTTTTTTCCAAGATGTTTGTAGGTATCATCAAATCAATATCAGTTGAAATACTCTTTAATGATGTGATCGTTTCAAAATTAGACTAATTTTAATTAGCAACAAAGCATTTTTGGAACAGAAAACCTGTAGCTTTCTTAGCTGATCCATGCTTCTGCTAACATTTAGAATTTTCCTAAGGGGGGAAAAACAGGCAGGATTTAACTTCCAATGAACATTTATTCTGATTTTTCCTAGCACCCAAGTTAGTTTGGGGTAGTAAGTTAAATTCTTAAGAAAGCTCTTGACCTTTTAAAAGTCTCCAAGGTATACTGGGGGCCCACTGATATCTATTACATGTGTTATTCCCAGGCAGTCATGAGATGAAAGACACAGAGTTTCTCGATTCCAGAGTTCTTGACCATCCTGTGAGATTCTGTAATGGAATTCATCCACTCTTTGCTTTTTTCAATCCATCAGTCAGTTCTCGACTTTCCCAAAGATGCTGAACTGGAGACCCTAGGACCAGCTTAGGTCTTGCCTACATAATCATGCTTCATTATGCCACATACATGGGGTCTTCAAAAAGTGCATGTAACATTCATGTTATGGAAAAAAAAAAACTATGCACGGATTTTGGAAACTTTTGCACCCTAATAAACACATTCTTCCATTTTTTTTCTACGAGCTTTTGGAAGAATCTTTATATTATTGACCTGTATGATATTTTTTATTTATATTTAATCATTGTACATCTTTAAAGTGGTTTTTCTAAACATGCATGTGTGCATGTCAACCAAGTCAAAGATAATTACCATATATATCACTTTCAACAGATAAATTTACATTCTTAAGTTTGTTCATTGCCTTTTCCCTCTCACTCCTTACTTATCTACTCTTTTCTGTCTATACAGTCTCTGGTATCTACACTTGCCCTCTTTGCTATTGTATCTTCAAACATTTCAATTCTGGCCACAGAGTGTAGACATTCCTTCTGTATTGAATGAGGCTATACAATGTTCGTCTTTTGTAGTCTGGCTTATTTTGCTTAGTGGTTAAATCTGCTATATTTGTCCACTTTGTATCGAATTACCTGGTTTAATTGTTTCTTTTTATGGCTTAGTAGTATTTCATAGTGCACCATGTATTGTCAAACTAGTCATATGTTCTTGGGCATTTAGTAAAATGCCATGTCTTAGCAAATATGAATAAAACATTTTTTTAGAGGGAAAGAAAAATCTCCAATTAGATGTCTTATTTAAA